GTCAGGTTAAAGGGGAGGGTACACCTGCTTGATACATCTGTATATCTGTGTGTGTGTACAGGAAATCAGGTTAAAGGGGAGGGTACACCTGCTTGATACATCTGTATATCGGAGTGAGTACAGGAAATCAGGTTAAAGGGGAGGGTACACCTGCTTGATACATCTGTATATCTGTGTGAGTACAGGAAATCAGATTAAAAGGGAGGTTATGCCTACATGATGTCTATCTGTGTGTATACGGAAAACCAAGTTAAAGGGGAGGGTACACCTGCATGATAGATGTGTACATCTGTGCATGTTTGGAAATCGGGTTAAAGGGAAGGGTAACCTGCACAATGTGTATCTGTGTGTGTATACAGAAAATCAGGTTGTCGATCGTGCTGATGTTTCTCAACCCCATTCTCAAGCTTTCTCACCTTAATAAAAACAGAAAGAACTGCAGATGCTGCAAATCAGCGCCACAAATAGAAATTACTGGAAAACCTCAGCAGGATTGTCAGCATCTGTGGAGAGAAATCAGAGTTGATAACAAGGTGTAGAGCTGGATGAACACAGCAGGCCAAGCAGCATCAGAGGAGCAGGAAAGCTGACGTTTCAGGCCTAGACCCTTCTTCAGAAATGGGGGAGGGGAAGGGGGTTCTGAAATAAATAAGGAGAGAGGAGGAGGCGGATAGAAGGTGGATGGAGGAGAAGATAGGTGGAGAGGAGATAGACAGGTCAAAGAGGCAGGGCTGGAGCCAGTAAAGGTGAGTGTAGGTGGGGAGTTAGGGAGGAGATAGGTCAGTCCAGGGAGGACGGACAGGTCAAGGGGGCGGGATGAAGTTAGTAGGTAGGAGATGGGGGTGGGGCTTGAGGTGGGAGGAGGGGATAGGTGGGAGGAAGGACAGGTTAGGGAGGCGGGGACAAGCTGGGCTGGTTTTGGGATGCGGTAGGGGGGAGGGGAAATTTTGAAGCTTGTGAAGTCCACATTGATACCATTGGGCTGCAGGGTTCCCAAGCGGAATATGAGTTGCTGTTCCTGCAACCTTCGGGTGGCATCGTTGTGGCACTGCAGGAGGCCCAGGATGGACATGTTGTCTGAGGAATGGGAGGGGGAGTTGAAATGGTTCGCGACTGGGAGGTGCAGTTGTTTATTGCGAACCGAGTGTAGGTGTTCTGCAAAGCAGTCTCCAAGCCTCCGCTTGGTTTCCCCGATGTAGAGGAGGCCACAACGGGAACAGCTCGGTTCGCACTAGGCGAATCTGATTTGTAATGGTGTAGAGCTGCAGCTGAGTATGGCTAGATGAAAATCTTCATTCTTCCCTCAGTTGCTTTTCCACGTTTCTGCAACGTCTTTACCACAATAAGGAAATCAGTTTAGGGTCATGGAGTCACACAGCACAGAAGAGGACCTTCAGCCCATCAGTTTAGGCTACATTGTCCTTGACCACATGCACAAGTTTAACATCTTCCTCCCAAGGACCATTGCCAGTGTGATAAAGGTTCATGAAATTATTTTATTGCTGTTTGGAAATTTGGGTTCTAACATGGACAGAATCATGTGCAGCTCTTAAGTTTCAGAGATAATATGAACTGCAGATGCTGGAGAAGGGTCTAGGCCTGAAACGTCAGCTTTCCTGCTCCTCTGATACTGCTTGGCCTGCTGTGTTCATCCAGCTCTACACCTTGTTATCTCGGCTCTTAAGTTTGATTTGTATTTCTGTGCTGCATGTTACCATAGCAAAACATAGTTTTAGTTTCATTTTTGAGTTCCGTGAGCCGTGTGGAAATCCATTTACTTGCATGTGATGAGGCTTTAACGAAGAAACACCATGGAGGAGAGTCGTTCAGTACTTTGGAAATCAAGGGTTGAAGAGTGGGAAACATTGGGTTGTCACCTAGCAATGGGGAGACAGAAACAGCTTCTGTTTAAAAATATAGAACCAAACAGAAGGCTGGTGAGTGCACATTTCTTTCAGTGAGGGACACAGGTCATTCAGAACAGCAACTCTCCAAAATGGTAAGGGAAGAAGAAAAGAAATCCTGAGTAGTTTGATGTCAGTAAAAGCTCTAGAAACAAAAAGGTTGTAGAAGGGGGCCTTAAGGAAACCAAGAAAGACAAAAGTGAGCTTTGCTAGTAGTTTCAGAGATAGTAGGAACTGCAGATGCTGGAGAATCCGAGACAACAAAGTGCAGGGCTGAATGAACACAGCAGGCCAAGCAGCATCATAGGAGCAGAGAGGCTAGTAGTTTGTTAGGGAATCCATGAAAAAAAATATAGAAAGCACCGGCTGAATTAATTTACTGAGAAGTAACCAAGTACAACTGTGCCAACTGAACAAGGAAACAGGACAACCCTGTACAAAGATCTCAGTACCTGTAAGGTTCTTGTTATTGAATCATAAAATCATGCAGCACAAAATAGACCCTTTGGCTCATTGAGTGTGCACCAACTTAACTACAATGATCCCAATTACAGTATTAGAGTCATGGAAACGTACAGCATGGAAACAGACCCTTCAGTCCAACTTGTCCATGCTGACCAGATATCCTATACAAATCTAGTCCCATTTGCCACCATTTGGCCCATATCCCTCTAGTTCCTTCATATTTATATACCCATCCAGATGCCTTTAAAATGTTGTCATTGTACCAGTCTCCACCTGTCCTCTGACAGCTCATTCCAAAACACACCACCCTCTGTGTGAAAAAATTGCACCTTGGATCCCTTTTATATCTTTCCCCTCTCACCGTAAACCTATGCTCTCTAGTTTTGTACTCCCCCACTCTGGGAAAAAGACCTTGGCTATTTACCCCATCCATGCCCCTTGTGATTTTATAAACCTCTCTAAGGTCACCCCTCAGCTTCGGATGCTCCCGGTAAAATAGCCCCAGCCTATTCAACTTCTCCCGATAGCTCAAACCCTCCAAACCTGGCAACATCCTTGTAAATCTTTTCTGAACCCCTTCAAGTTTCACAACATCCTTCCTTTAGCAGGGGAGACCAGAATTGAACACAGTAATTCCAAAAGTGGCCTAACCAATTGTTGTAGTGAAAAGAGGTGAATCCATATTTCTGAAAATAAGACCATTTCAAATTCTAGTTTATATCGAGGAGCGGGGGTGGTGGAATGAGAGAATGAGAAACTGTGTGTTGACAAGGTTAGATTGAATAATAATGATGTTATTAAGGAGTGTTAATACATGCAAATAGGCCTCTCAGTGAACACTGGGTTGGGTAATTGGACTTCTTGCTGTCACATGATTTTCCCAACTTTCCTGCCATGACCAACGTCATTTGGGGACTGGGAATATTCCACACTATGTCTCTGCTTAATATCAAACCATACTTATAAAATGTGAATTTCTCCTTACTTAATATCTAATCATAGTTTACGTGCTTCTGAAGACTGGGTCTCCTGCAGCCCCTAAAATTATTGAACATATTTATCACTCTTTGCCTGAAATTCATTGCAGTGCCTGCTCTAAATTTATTTTTCATTGACTTCTTTTTATGACCTCTGGTCCAACTGACTTCATGTTCCCAAGAAGTATTTCAGACTTCCCTCAGCTGAGCTATTAAATATGTCACTCTTTCACATTAATATTTAACGCAAGCTGTTTCAGTCTTCCATCTATATTATGGAGATTATTGTTTTTGTTTCAAACCACTTCTTCCCAAGCTTTGGGATCATTCTTCATGCTTCCACTCATTGTCTCTATATAGTTCACAATCTGGGATACTTGCCTGAGTTTGTGTGAGCAAAATTGTAAGACCGTCAAGAACCAGGACAAGTTGATATCTTTCGCATTACACTTTTAACAAGCTGCAGGTTGTGTGTGCCATTGCTGAAGCATTGAAAACAGCACAGCCCTGTCAACCCTGCAAAATCCTCTTTACCAATACTTAAGCATGGCGTGGTAGCTCAGTCTTTAATACTTCTGCCCCAAAGCGTCAGGGACCCAGGTTTGATACCAGTCTTGGGCGACTGTATGTGTGGAGTTTGCACATTCTCCCTGTGTCTGGTGGGTTTCCTCTTAATGCTCCGGTTTCCTCTCACAGTCTAAAGATGCATTGGCCATGCTAAATTGCCCATAGTATCCAGGATGCGCAGGCTAGCGGGATTAGCCATGGGAAATGCACAGTTACAGGGATAAGGAACGGAGTTGGGTCTGAGTGGGATTCTCTTCAGAGGGTCGGTGGGGACTCAATGAGTAGAATGGCCTACTTCCACACTGTAGGGATTCAATGGTTCTGTTATCTGGGAAATTGTACTGAATATGGAAGATCTCTCCCACAGATAGGTCAAGCAACAGCCTGTCTCAATCATTTTCACAGAATCAAATGTTATAGACAATAGTGTCATATAGCCTTCAACCCAACAAATCTGTGCCGACCTAGCCATATGAATCCCACTTTCCAGTAATGAAAATGGAGATTGCTGGAGAAACTCAGCAGGTCTGGCAGCATTTGTGGGGAGAAAAAAAACAGAGTTAGCATATGAGTCCAGTGACTTTCCACAGGACTCAGCCCATAGCCTTGAATGTAATGACATTTCAAGTGCTCTTGCACTTACTTTTTAAGGTTGTGAGGTTTCCTGCCTCAACTATCCTCATAGGTAGTGCATTCCAGACCCTCACCACCTTCTGGATGAGATGATTTTTCCCAAATCCCCTCTAAACCTCCTGTCCTTCACCTTTGTTATTGCTGCTCCAACAAAGGGGAACAGCTGCTTTCTATTCAGTCTGTTCATGCCCCTCACAATCTTCTATCAGGCTCCCCCCTCCCCTCCCCCACCAACACCGCTGCAACATTCTCTGCTCCAAAGAAAACAACCCAAGCTTATCCAACCTCTCTTCACAGCTGAAACTCTCCATCCCAGGCAATATCCT